CTATAATATATATAATACTTCGTAAGTATTATATTCGATTTAAATTTTCGATGTTTAAAAAATTTAATTTTTTATAATAAATAATAGTAAGATATAGCCCACGGAAGTCATATGAATTAAACAAAGTTGTCAATGTAAAATGTTTATAGGTACAGGTAAATTTGGTGCAAATAGGCTGTTGCAAAAACATACCTTTTTTATTTTGGCGCAAATAGACTGTACCCAAAAGGAATTAATTTTTTTTTGGCCCAAATGTGAAATGGGTGATGCCCGATAGCCCGGTAAACGCATACAATCACACTCACGCTCTTCATGATTGACGACAATTAATGACATGGACGGCGGCAACGAAATTGCATATTGCCTAAATAATGTGCCTTATTAAAGACACACGAGCAGGCACCTCAATATTATTTAGTCATTGTTATCTCTCAAGAAAATGGGTTATTTATCCAATGCGACTTGTAGGAAATGATCTTAACGAACAAAAAATTAATCAAATCAGACTACACTCTACGACGCATTAGAGTTTTTCCTGTAAAGCGTGTTTTGAGCAAAAAATCATGCATTTAATTTTTGGTCGGTGGTACCATTGACATGTAGACATGCACTGCGTGCGTAGATAGCCCGGTACCCGAATACAATCACATTCACACCAATCACCATTGACGGCGGCAATTAAATTGCATATTGCCTAAATATTGCGCCTTCTTAAAGACACAGGCAAGACAACCTAACCTTCCAAGGTTACCAAGGTTTCATGGTTATTAAGGTTACCATTATCCATAGTTACCATGGTTACCATGAGTGTTGTGGCTATTATAATCATAATTATAGGTCTTTAATGGGCAACGAAGTGCATGGGATCAGATATTTTATATATATAGTCAGTGTGTGTCCACATTACCATGGCAACCTTTTATATTGTTTTATGTAAAACATATTATTTATATAGAGTTGTCAATTTTAATGGGCAACGTAGTGCACGGGATCAAATATTTTTATACATATAGACATGTTAGATCTCTGGGCAGAAGATAGGCTAATTTAAAAGGGGAGAGGACCAACACCGGGACGTGCTCAAACAGGGATTTTGAGATTTTTGTTTATATATGGTCGCCGCGGGTTTCAAAGCTATAATTATAATAATAATTGGTTTAAAATTGTTGTTATGGTAACCGTTATATTATAAAAAAAAACATATTATTCATATAGCGTTGGTATTTTTAATGGGCAACGAAGTGCACGGGATCAGCTAGTAATAAATAATTGTTAAGTGTACAAAATATAGATTGTAAATATAATAAAAAATACAAATATGAACACAATATTATGTATAGGTACGCCATGATAACATGGTCAATAATGTTATAACTCGAGTTGTTGCAGTCTTGAACTGGAAAGTCGATATATTGTGTTATAAGTTATAAGTCTTAGGTATATACATGCTAAAATATTAAGTATAATCTGTATTATACTACCACCTGTTTTGTATTAACTTATTATATTATTATTGTATACAGTTGTGTAAATTTTGTATACATTTTAGTATGTATATACTTAAGACTTATGATTTTTTACTTATAACTTATAGTGGTATGTTGATGTTTTAATATATATATTATACCTAACCTAATATAATATTACAATATAATATCATGACGTATAAATAATATTGTGTTCATATTTGTATTTCTGGGCTCTTTTTTTCATTGGTGTGTTTATTTTTTTGGGCCTTATTTCCGTTAGTTTATTTTTCTGATCTTTTTTCCGTGGGCTTTTTTTTATATATAAAAATGAATGTATGTCAGTGTGTCAGTGTGTCTGTGTGTCTGTGTGTCCATGTTACCATGGTTACCAAGGTTGCCATGGTTACTAAGGTTACCAAGATTTCATATCAATCTATATATATAAAAAGAATGTATGTCAGTGTGTGTGTGTGTGTGTGTGTGTGTGTGTGTGTGTGTCCATATTACCATGGCAACCATATCTGTATATAAAAAACAGTAAGCTGATTGACTGCCATCAACGCACAGCTCAAACCATTGGACGGATCTGGCTGAAATTTGGCATACGGATAGCTATTATAATATAGACGTGCGCTAAGAAAGGATTTGCCAAAATTCGCATTTTAAATAGGTGCTGAAACAGGGACATTGAGATTCACGATAGAAATTGGAAATTTTACTTTTATTTATTTATAGTTGCCATTGGTTACAGTCTACATTAGAAATTAGCATTTATTTATTGGTTGCCATTGGTTATTCGGGCAGATCAGGTACAAGCTTGCATCAAATCGAATTATTGAACAATGCTTACCAGGGTGGCAGAGTTGCACTTACCGCAGAAAATTACACCCAAAAGGAGTTCAACAATCATAATTTTTTTAAGAGTTGCGATTTTTTACGAGCAACCAAATTTATTATATTAATCCACAGTATTACATCAAAATAAACTTGGTATAACTTTGATACTTTAGAGTTAAATCATACACTTCCGTACAAACAGCACGGGGTCCGCGATCTACCGCAGGTAGATTGCCTACCTGATAATGTACTGCTGCGATTCAGAATTTTTATTCAGGGCAACGGGAAAGATAAGATAAATTTTGAACACCATACACGTTAATGAATTGAACAAAGTTTGAGTAGGTAGTATTGAGTTGATCCATTTAACGGGCGACGAAGTGCACGGGATCAGCTAGTGGAGAATAAAAATCAAATTAATGAATTATCTTTGCCAAAAACTATAAAAAAAACGATAGATGCTAATAATGTAAAAAACGAATTTGGTCCATATAAAATCAAGACTAAAATTTACAAACATGAACAAAATAAAGTGGAATCGTTTTGAAAATCATGTGTAATATTCAATAAATTTCATAAATTATTACAAATAAAGTACAAGAATTAAGAAAATACTTTTACATCAGAAGAAATGGAAGAAATAATACCGATACGATCAATGTATTATTGCACTCATGATTGGGTTAAAGGTGCAATATCTGAATTTATTGATTTTCGAAAAAACTGGAAATTTCCTATTTTGTATTCTCAAGTTCGTGGTGATTATATTCCAACTTGGGATACATGGGAATGTTTTGGTATAATTAAGTCTGAAATTACAATATCCCAATTTATTAAAAATTTCAATGATGATTTTAAGAACTAATTTTGTTTTTATTTTTTTTTTATTTTTTATTTAAATTTATATCTATAAGATTACTGGGCCTCACTGAGACATACTCGTGTGGAGGCCCAGGGTTATCTACTATACATTACACATTTGCATAAAAATTATAATTGACAGACATCTTCAATATTTGTGTTTGAATTTTACATTTTACATTTGAAAATTACATAGATAATAAAGATAAATTATGGTTATCAATTGATATAATTTCGAGTTGTCATTTTATAGAATATACATTTGGTCTAACAACAAAAAATGATGATACAGATGAAGAATATGAATGTGGAAATATTAATTGTGAAATAAAAATTGCTAATAAAATAGAAAATATTGAACAATGTAAACGAAAAAAAAAAAAATGAATGGGTCTCTAATATTTAACTTAATATCAATGTTTGAAAATGTAGGTAAGAATTGTAAGGAAATAAATATAATTTAAATACACAATTAAAAAAAAATACATTTCTATTATAATAAATAATAGAAATGGAAAATTTGAAAACACTTTTAAATGAATGCAATAATAAATATGAATATGTAAAATTGAGTGACTTAAAAGAAGCACAAACTTAAGATGTAATAATGTTTAATATTGAAGAAAATAAAAGTCGATCAGTTATATTAGACAAAAAATATAGATTAGTTTTGCCTGATAGTTATATTGAAGTATTATCAATAGAAAGTATATTGTCTATAACACTAATCCAAAAATCAAATACAAATTATTTTATATTCAACCAAATATTTATTGGTTTGAGACCTAATTTAAATACGCAATAAAAAAAAAAATACATTTCTATTATAATAAATAATAGAAATGGAAAATTTGAAAACACTTTTAAATGAATGCAATGATAAATATGCTTTTGTAAAAGTATGTGACTTAGAAAAAGGAAAAAAATATGAGGTTACTCGTTTCAAATATATACTGGGTAATTCTTTTATCAAACAACACTCATTATTTCAAAAAGTGTAATTTTTTTTGAAAATATTTATTTACATAGTTTCAAGTCGCTTATAAAACAACGTTTTTATTAAACAATTATATTTTTAAATATTTTTTATCCTTATAATTTTTTAAGTTTTTTACTTTTTTGAATAACAACATAGGGTTTTAATTTTATATTCCAAAGCAGAATATTGTTCGTTATATAATTGCTTATCACACCTGAAAATGTAATAATCTTCCTACATACTCAAGTTCAGATATTGTTTTACCATGTAATTTAGCTTGAGCTCTAGTCCATACATGTTTAGAAAAATCATTAATTAGTTGTATATTTGAACCTTTAGGATATTCTTTTCCATCTTTGTGCAAATATCTAACATACATATAAAACTTTGCTTTTCTAATATCCAGAACATTATCCTGGTTATTTATTTTAAAAACTGTATCTTTATTAGGTGTATTAAGTTGGGCGTTAGTCGTAGGTATAAAAGTTTTATATTAAGCACTTTCAATATATTTGTCAAACTTTTTAAAAATATTATACATTATTTATAATAGCAAAAAAAAAAAAAATTTACTATAAAATGTATCTTATTACAATAAAACCATTTAAAATAAAAAATAAAATAAAATATTTATTTCATTTACCTTTTTTTTTTTTTTTAATGTTTGAACCGCGAACCAGGGAGGGAACTAGGTTTCCCCATTACTGCCTCCCTAGACGCATCATTTATTATAAATGAAATACACAACTACAATACAATACAAATGAATAACAGGTAAATATATATGTTACAATAACTGGGGGCCTCTAACCACCCTGAAGCGGCCGTTCAGCCCACAATAGAACAATGCTTAACTAATTAGTTATGTTGAGCTTTTGAGCACCTTGATCACCGGCACGCTGCCGCTCCCTTTCTAGTTCCTCCTTGCGGCCCATTATCTCCTCCACCATTTGTGTAAACAGCTCCCTCCTCCAGTTGACTGCCGACACTAGTCTCCTCCTTGTTGGCTGGTCCTCCGGTAGCTCCGTAGGTGCTAATCTGCAAAGGACACCCACAACATCCTCAGAACGAGCAGGTCTGCCCAATGACTGCTCAAATGCTTTCCTCTCACCGCTCCAAAACATGCAGACGAACAGTGTGTGTTCAGCGTCATCATTGTCTGCAGGGCACAGTAAACAGGCTGGACTGCGCGCTCTTCCCCTTGTCTAGAGGTAATGCTGGAAGCACCCATGACCAGAAAGAGCCTGGGCCATGTGGAACGTAATCTGCCTCGGGCCATAGTGCCACCATCTGGACAGATCAGGAATCAACCTTTTTGTCCATGCCTCCTTGTCTTGGGTGGACTCCCAGAGGGCCTGCCAGTATCGGATTGTGTCGGTTATGTTGTTGAAAGTGAAGCTTGACGGACTAATGATGTTAGCATTAATATAATAAGTAATAACACGACAATATGATTATGTATAAGTATAATATATAATAACGTACAACTGGACAATTAAACTGTGACTATACACACACACCGCGTACACTCGGTATGACAGCGTCTGTGCAAGTGAATATTACATACATCAAAGGTACTATATATATGCACGACCGAGGTCATGTTACATCCGTAAAGAGAGTGAGTCTTATGCTCGTACATAACTAGTTACTAAATTGTACACACGTGTCAAGGCTGACTACATATACTACATATTAATTGTATATTTCAACATATGTCATAGCTCCTGACTTCCTAACCTCCGCCCTCCTCTTCCTTCCAATTGCTTGCAGTACAACCGGGGGCATCCTGGCTAGTACAAGCGAGGCCAAACCAGAAACAGTGTGGTAACACCTGGCCACTCTTAACGCCGCACACCTCTGTGCCTGTAGAAGCACATTCTTGGTCTTCTGCGTTTCGAGAACGCACTCTGACCATACTTCGGCACCATATAGTAGCCGGCTATGGACTACGCTCATTATCAGCTGCCTCTTAGACTGAGATGGGCCACCGACGTTAGGTATGAGCCTCCCGAGAGCAGCTGCAGCCTTCCTTGCACCTGCCGCCACTGAAGTCACGTGGTCAACAAACGACAACCTAGTGTCCAGTCGGACACCCAGGTATCTGATCGCCCTCTGAATGGGGATCTGGCAGCCTTGAACATGCAATACGGGGGTGCGATAAGCCTTCTTATTTGTAAGGACCACACCCTCAGATTTTTCTGGGGCCAGACTGAGACCATTGGCGGTCATCCACTCGACAATATCAACTAAAGTGGGGTTGACAAGTTGCTCGATCAGCTCAGCGTTCTGAGCTACTGCCACCACAGCCACATCATCAGCGAAAGCCACTAGCCTAACGCCCTTAGCTGTACCGGCTTTTTTTTAGATTCTGATTGGAACGAAGAATGTATTGATTTTACAATGATGTTTGTTTTTTTCTTATTTTTTTTTTAAATTTTTAATTTTCTTTTGTGTCTGTATACACGATAATTAGTCGAAATAATGCTTCAATTTTCAACTTCAGTATCTTGTTCGATGGGAAAGTGAATATTTTTGGTGTATTGAATAGGTCAAAATTTAAAATACCCAGTAATTTTCAAAAGAGCCAAAAAAAACAAAAGAAAAATTAGGAAAAACGGGAATTTTGCAAATTATTTTCAGTTAAAAATTCATAAAAATTTTTCTTTTTAAATCTAACATTTTAAAATGCAATACAAGATTTTTCATAGGTTTGTCTACCTTTATTTAAAAAAAAATGTCTACTGGAAAGTGAAATACAATTTTATGAGCATTTTAAATTAATGTTTTTACAAAATTTGTTATTCACTCGATTTCTCATGTGGCGATTTAATTATTTTGTTGTAATTCAAAAATGAATAACTGTAGATACATGAAAATTTCACTTAATGTTTAAATCAGCATTTCCTATACATAATACAATTTTGACTCTTTTTGAGCTGTTTACGGACATTTTAATTTTCAATTTTTAGATTCTGAGTGAAACGATGAATGTATTGATTTTACAATGATGTGTGTTTTTTTTTAATTTTAAATTTTTAAATTTTTAAATTTTTTTTTGTATCTTTCATCACCTTTTAGGACAGTAAAAGTGCTTGGAATTTCTTCAACAGTATCTTTTCTGATACGAAAGTGAATCTAGTCGGTACTTTAGGGGGTCAAAAGTATCGTGAAAAACCAAAGAAAAATTAAATTAAGGAAAAACGGGAATTTTAACACAAAATTAATTTTTGACTAAATCGATTTTGGATTTTGGTGTCCCTCTAAAAAAAATTAAAGTACGCACATGAAAATTTCACTGAATATTTATATTAGTATTTCCTATACACCATACACCATAAAATTTTGAAAATATTTTGACTCTTTTTTGAGCTGTTTACGGACATATTCAGTTTCCAATTTTTATTACTTTTTTATTCTATAAATATCAATAAAGTTTTATCTATTGGGCCAAAAAGTGTAAAAATTGAATACAGGGCTCCTGATATATTGTTACAATATCAGTTGAAAAATATTAAAAATATATATTCACAATTTTTTTTTATAAGCATTTAAAGATCGAATTTTGACAAAATTTAAAAATGAATAATTATTTTGTATTTAAAAATGTAAAAAATGTTCAACTTTTATATCTAAGGATTGAAAATTTAAAACAAGATTCCACGTAAAGGGTTCATTCTTTTACTCAAAAATCTAAAAAATACATACGTACAGTTTATTTTTATAGTCATTTTAAGTTCAAATTTGGACGAAATTACATAAAAAAAACCTAAAATAACTATTTTAGTTATTTTGTTGGGACTGTATAATATTATTAGTGGGTACTTGAAACTTCTAAAGTACACTATTATATATCTGTGATAGTATCATTCTTCATGCTGCTGGCGTCAGCCTTTCCGTCATTACATCTATAACGGTGAAAACGCACAGCACGCACAATTGGCAACTCTTTTCTCCCCGCTCTTCACCGTCTCTAAGTCTCTTCCTACGCATTACACACACGATTCACTCTATACAAACGTATTTCTAATGTCTTTGCTAAATTAATGTAAACACCTCTATAGTTTTTATATTGTTTATTTTCTTTTTACGTTGTGTCAACATAACCAAAAAAGAGTTCGTGATTTATAATACTGTATTACTACAGCTACCAATTTTCGTTCATATTTTTTTGTATTTACACCTTCTATTTTTGTCGTTGTCGTCATCAGTAAGATGACACAATAATCATTGTAACTTTCTCTGGTTTCGCGGATATTGAATCTGCAGACCATTTATACAACGGATATCAATAAATCATAAGATATCGTTCACAATCGGTGAGTACTTATTTATTTGGTTCCGTTTATAATATGTACTTCTCTGTTAGATAGTCCGGACTGACTATAGTCAATCAGAATTGAGCGTACGGTGATCATTACAATATCATCTGCGTCATTGTTGGCATCGCTCATCATTAGCGTAAGTCCGCCAGCAACCATTGTGCGTTGTGTGAGTGGCCGCCCAAGATCATCCAGGTGCAATACGCTGGATCAGCCAATCATATACCTCCACCTCAGTCATTGATGCGTGGACATGGTTATGTAGGTTATGTAAATGAAAAAGATATGATGAATGGTAAGGATATTGTTATTAACAAATACATAATTTTATTAAAACTTTATTTTGAAGTATATTAGATATAAGTGTAACATATAAGCATTGGCTTTTATGATATAAAAGGTAAATTTTACCTTTTATAATTTTACATATTTAAATAACACATAGGTACTTGGATATTTGAGGATAACACAAAAAAATATTTATTTATTTATTAGTAATATTAACTCCAAACCATTGCTTGGTTAGTAAACTTAAAACTGTATTTCTGTTCCAAGATAAATCTTGTATATCCCATTGTGTGTGTGTGTTTGGAAATCGTGTAAAATTACGTTATTATATTGCTCCTTTATCCTCGGAATTTTTCCCTGGTTTCGGTAGCACTGTAACGACGGTTGATCACATTGTTTTGGCGATGTCGGCCAAGCTGTGGGCCGGGCCTTTGCGGAGTCGTGGCGATCGCATAACGACCAACTGGCGGCAACTTCTCGGCCCCGCGTCTCATTTTATTAGCAGCAGCTTCTGTATTACCATAGTTAATAAAGGTAAGTAAATGTCTAATACCATAGTTAATAATTTTTATTACACACACGGCATACCTTAGCTTGAGTTTATATCAAGGTGGATTTTAATTCGACTTAGTTTATATGTTATCTATGGTTTGTTGTCACAGATTTTTCAACTCTGCGTCACTACCACAACTCGTTTCGCCGTCTACAACATAACGCGTAAACCTCGTGGACAATCATCAGCCAACTATAACCTCACTTACAAATCGTCGTCTTCCTCCAGCGACACCTTCTTTGCTTGCTTACAGGTAAGAGTGAATATTATAATTAATTGAGCAATAGTACTATACTATTGCTATATACTTTTCTGAGAAGTAGAAAATCAAAACTGTCATTTCTTTGTTCTTTTGCCTTACATTTAGTAAGATATTTCCTATGGACATTTTTGTTCATAAATGGTTGTAATTTGTTTTGAAGCTATAATAATAATAATTACTTTTTTCCGGGTAACGAAGTGCACGGGATCAGCTAGCCTATATATATAAAAATATCTGATCCCGTGCACTTCATTGATCATTGAAATTGGCAACTTTATATGAATAATATGTTTTCACCATGGCAACCATGTATATACAAATAATCCATCGGAAATTTCAAAATAATATAAAATTGGTTGCCATGGTAATATGGACACACACACGGACATGCATTTTTATATAATACTAGCTGATCTCGTGCACTTCGTTGCCCATTAAAAATACCAACTCTATATGAATAAAATGTTTTATTTTATATTAACGGTAAATATAACAACAATTTTAAACCAATTATTATTATAATAGCTTCAAAACCCATGGAAACCATTCAAATGAAGTTATCTGTTTGTTGCACCGACCCTTCAATTTTATAAACAAAAATTTCCATCTGAAACCTCAAAATCCCTGTTTGAGCACCTCCCGGGGTTGGTCCTCTCCCTTTTTAAATTAGTCTATCTTCTGCCCCCAGATGTCTAATCTAACTCTGTACCAAATGATCCCATGCACTTCGTTGCCCGGCAACCAATAATTATTATTATAATAGCTTAAAAACCCATGGTAACCTTGGTAATATGGACACACACACACACACACACACACACACACACACACACACACATTCATTTATATATATATATATATAAGTCCAAGGCATCATCAAACTTTAATAGTTAAATATTAATTATGTTTTACTATAACTCATAACATTTAAATTCACAGATGTAGTGGGTTGAAGTAGAATCAAACGTTGTGTTGATACCAGCTTTTTATATTTTTTGAATTTTTTAGCAGTTGTATTTTACTGACAACCATGTGGGAATGACATGTATTTAGACGAGGGATCTGGTAACTTTTAGCTCTGGAAAAATACTTATACTTGGTTAACATGTCCATTGCAGTGAGTTGTAGCTTATCGACACCTACTATATACCCAACCTAACCTAGTTTTCGTATATTTATAATATTGTTTTATTTGTTTGGTTACTATTCCATAAAAATATTGATTTTAACCTATTATTTTATTCTAAATACTTTAAAAGTTTTAACTTTGTCAACAGAATTCTTGTACTATAAAGATGCCAAAACATCCAAAAAAGAAACTTTTTTGCCCGCCTACTATGGTAGGATATGATTGTGATAAACTCTATTTTCCTACTACCTATATATGGGTTTGTAAAATTTGCTTGAGAATGATATTGAGCGAAGAAGCTGTTGCAAATCATTTGAACAATTGCAATAAAAAACCTAGACAATCGAACCAAGCTCCACCTATACCAACCAAAAAGTAATAGTTAATTTAGTCTTATTTTTTTATTAATTATTATCAAACATGATGTTAGAAAGTTAATCTATTTTTATTTTGTTCAGAAATGAAGATGTGTCTTACATATGTGAGTATTGCGGCAGGGTATTTTCAAGGAGAGTTAAGCTAAAGAAGCATAATATAGATGTCCATGAAAAATCATCAAGTCTATACTAAGTACTATGTGACACCAAAGATGAAAATGATCCTTAAATAACAGAAAATGCAAATGATGATAATGACCAACCTGAGGAAATTCCATGCAATAACATTAACTTGATTTGATTTATTTGTATTCGTATTATTTTTTATTTTCTGTATTTTTTTTTTTTTTTGACAATTCTTTACAATTTGGACTTTGCAGGCTTGAAATAAAATAGTTATTTACAACAATATCAAAATTGTTCAGAAGTGTATTTTTAAGATTCAAAATTTTCATTCTATCAATTTATTAATATTTATTGCAAAAATAATTACTTTTAAATATTCAAAACATTAAAACACTTTAAAATTCCTAGTTTGGAAACATAAGGTTCTACTGATAGAACTTTTTGTTATCAATTATCTTTTTTAAAAATATAATGTTCTATTGATAGAACATATTGATTCCAAAGTAATTGATTTGTTCTAACAATTATTTTAAGTGGTGCCAACTTTGATGAAATAAATAAAGTATATATTTTAGTAGTTGTATTTAGGAAAAAATATATTTACCTACTAATCTTATACCTAGGATTATTAACAATATTACTAAGACAATATTAGTAATTTTTGTATCAAGTAAGACTTTTAATTAGAAGTTCAAATAGTAAAACAAGAAAGTAGGTTATTATTAATTTTTAAAACGTAACAGTTAACTCTTTATTCATTTTCAAACAAATTAGAACATAACAAATATGATAATAAAAACAAGTAACTTAGTTCTAACAGTATTTTTTTATTTTATTTTTGAGTTAACCATTATAGGTAATGGCCTGACCTTCATCATAACATTTATTTTGAAATAGTAATAATACTATAAAAATTCTAATTATATTAATAAAAATATAAAACAATCAAAATATTTTTATAACTTAATTACATTAACATAAAAATCTTAAACAATAAAGTATGATGAGTTAAAACTCCACTAAAATATTTCGTTATACAAATCTAAATCACTTGTTCTCATTGGCACAAATATGGGGGGGCTTGGGGGGATTTAGCCGTAGTAAATTCCCCCCGGTTCAAAATCTAGTAATTAGTACTAATTTTTATATTTTGTGGTACTAAGCAATATGGCTTATGGTGAGAGGGGCTTGAGTCCCCCCAAAAAATTTAATAAATTTGCGACTATGCTTGTTCTAAACGTTTTAACAGAGAGAGAATATATTTTTTTTCTTCCGTTCATAGAGATTTAGAAGTAGTAGCAACTTTTGTTATTACAAAATATTAATATTAGGTGATTTTGCTAAAATCATTATCCTGTACTTAAATGATGAAATTGTAGTTTTAAAAGCAACGCCATATGGGGATTGTTAAATATTAAATGTTACACTATATAAAAAAGAAATATGGGTAAATATAAAATACTTTGTAAGTTTGTGATAATCTTTAGCAGATTCCAGTTTCTCAAATAGTTCGTAACCATGCAGTACCTACATGATATCGTTGTGATCTGATCATATTTACTATTTAATATTATACTGTTATAGTTATTTAGTGGATACATATATATAAATTCAAAAAAAATTAATAAATATTTCCTCCGAAACTATGGGCAGTAAAAAGTTCAAGCTCACAATGAATCACCAACGCTTTTGAATCTTTTCATTCAAAAATTTATAGTTTTTTTGACTCTAATCACCCAAATATACAAATGTTTAGGAGCTTTGAAAAATATGCAAATCGATACTATAATATTGATAAGAAGTCTAGAAAAACTAATAGTAGGTAATCAGAAAACTAATATGATAAAGAATACTATTTGTAAAAAAAATTAAATCACAATAATTAAAGGTTATGTAAACAAATTAACTAATAAAATAAATAAATACAGAAAAAATTAATACTTAGTATAGGTACTGTTAACTTCTAGCTATCATAAACCAAAGGCACATATAAAAACAAAAGTACGAAGGTATTTAACTTTACTAATCCATTTATTAACATATTTTATTCAACACTGTTCACTAAGACGGACGCGCACAAAAAGGCTGCGCGTTACCCTCTCGACGGACTCGACGACTGACAACGACCGCCGCTCGGCCATACTCACTCTACGATAGCATTAGGGAGAGGGTCCCGCGTCTGCAAGACCCACCCGCCATCTAGAGGAGTTTACAGGCGACCATCCTGGCGCTCTGTCGTCTTCGACAGATGTCGTTACTTATTCTCACAACACATTTTACTTGAGAATAGACATTTCTTTTTACAGCATAAGACATTACAAAAAAAAAAACAATATAATAAACAACACATATTAGTATGCACTATAAGCAAGACTTTAACCTAGTAATGCTCATCATCATAGACATACCAACAAAATACAATACATTTTAACATTAGTAACCATCAAAGATAATAATAATAATTCATTGACTTGACATAATATAATATAAAGTTTAACATTATTAACAATTTGGGTAACAGTAACTAGATTTTTTTTTTTTTTTTTATACTCACAATCTAAATTACCAACTGTAATCCCTCAGCCAGTTTGGTTTACGAACCACACGCTGGGGACGCTTATCATCATCAGGTACAGCTATCTCAGGGGTGCCTGGGGTCTCTGGCGGTTTGTACCTCGAGTAGACTTGGGTCCTCAACGTCAAACAACTCAGTTATCGTCCCATCCTGTACTCCTTCATCTTCATCATCAGCTGTCAACCTCCAGAACTTCAGCTGAGAAACGTGAGCCGTTGTCGCAAACCGACTTCCTCTGGTTGCGTTCAGCTCGGTCACCCTGTAGACATCTGACGATAGCACTTCTGTCACTATAGTATAGCCATCGTAAGAACGCTACTCGTTCGCGCATCCAAATGACCGAGCTCCGCAGTTTCGTGCCCAAGTTTCTCCCACTCTACCATCTAGTCGCCGCCGTAAATAGGCAGTAGTGGCAGCGACAGTAGCGATGGCGGCGGCCAGCGTTCTGGAAGGTTTAGTGGTGGGAATGCGCGAGATCGGATGAATTTTGGTCGCCGCCCAGTAGCGTTCTTACGATGGCTATACTATACCAACGGTCCTTGATATTTATCCTGCAACTTTGTGGACTCTCCGGTGGACTTAGGCGCCCTTCTCATAACAACTATCTCCCCCACAGAGTAGTGAATCTTATCATAGCGGTGCTTGTCGTAAACCGTCTTCCTTCTGGTGTTTTCCATCTCCATATTTCCTCGAATAAGAGTTTGGAGTTCCTCGGGCGGAGTCCACTAGTCCAGTCATCTCTTGTAGCCGACAAGGCAAGCAGAGCGCCTTGCTCAAGCCTGGGACGGTACCCGTGAAGCATCTCAAAGGGAGTTCTACCCGTCACCTTGGTCTCACTGTTGTTGAATAGACGTTGGACTTCAGGTAACATCTTGGCCCACTCACAGCCAGCTCCTCCCATAGTCATTATTGTGGCCATTACTACACTGTGCGTTCGTTCCACCTGACCATTGGCTTGAGGATGTCTCGATGACGTCCACACTAACTTAATTCCTTGGGCAGCACAAAAGTCCTCGAATGCACCTGAGGTATAGCACGTCCCACGGTCGGTGATCAGCCGTCCGGGTAACCCATATTGTTTCACAAACAGCTGCATACATTTTATCAGTGGCTCTGATCCGGTATTCGACACAGCATATAACGTTACATATTTAGTTAAGTTATCTACTATAACTAAGATGTACCGTAGTCCTCCTGGAGCCGTTATGAAGGGTCCAACATGGTCTACATGAACCGTTCCAAAAGGTCTTGTCCCAATAGGTATTGGATGCAACAAACCAGGACGTTTACCTCTGGGTACACGGGTCAACAAACACTCAAAACATGACCATATGTGTTGCTTCACATAACTTCTCATATCTGCGAACCAGAAGTCTTGCAGTACATTCGCCATCGTGCGGTCTACAGCCGGGTGTCCTCTCAAATCATGCGCTGTTACTACCAGATTCTTCCTCATTGACTTTGGCATGACAAACAGCATTGCAGCTTGTCCCGGAACCGACGATATAATAACTGATCCTTCACCACGTAGGACAACCCTAATCCTTCTTTTGGTCCCTGCTCGACCATCCTTTTGATATGTGCCACATCACTGTCTGCCGTTTGACACATCATCACTCGTTCTTCTAACGTTATCAACACGCACACAGTCTGTCGTTCCATTAGGGCTTCGTCAAGAGACTCTTCGGGTCCTACTGGAGCTCTAGACAAGGCGTTTACATGTGTCATACGCACTCCAGGTCTATAATTCACCTCGATGTCATACTCCTGCAGGGCATCATACCACCGTGCCACTTGAACGTTCGCACTCTTACTGCTGTTTAAGTAAGTAAGAGCTTGGCAATCGGTGAACACCGTAAACTTTATCCCCAAAAGAAATTGCCTCAACTTGTTGACTGCCCATACTATGCACAACAACTCCAGCTTACTGGAGTGGTACTGCGTTTCGGCATCACTCGTCTTTCGGCTAGCACAGTACACCAACTTGAGTGGGTCACCTTCCACTGACGACTGCAACAGCATGGCCCCAAGGCCCAGCGCACTGGCGTCAGTATGGAGCTCGGTACGCGCAGCATCCTTTCGGAACATAGTCTGGACTGTGTCACTGGTCAGGTTCCGACGTAGCGAGTCGAACGCGTTCTGCTGCTCTTCCGCCCACTCGAACACCCGTTCACCACGCATCAGGCGCGTCAACGGCCCAGCTACCACAGCATACTTTTATACAAATCGGCGGAAGAAACCAGTAAGCCCCAAAAATCTCCGGACCTCGTGTAGGTCCTTAGGAACAGGGTACTTCTCGATGGCACGCACCTTTTCCGTACCAGGCCGTATTTCTCCACCTTCGATGACGAATCCTAGGAAGTGAATCCGCTTAGCGCCCAACGAACATTTCGGTGGCTTCAGCGTTAGCTGCGCTTCACGTATCTTCCATAATACAGCTCGCAAATTGGTCAACATCTCCGTCCAGTTTTTCCCGTCTACAACCATGTCATCCAAGTAATTCCGCACGTGGAGTCCCTGGATCGGACTCAACACCCGCTGCATAAGTCGGGTAAATTCAGCGACGGCCCCAGACAACCCAAATGGCATTCTATTAAATTCACCCGTCGTATCCGCGGTGATGAAAGCCGTTTTCTTGGAAGCTTCCTCCGTCAACGGTATTTGAAGGTACCCACTCGCCAAATCAAGCTGGGTAAACAGCCGACTATCTGCCAATGACTCCAATTGTTCCATCATGTCGGGCAGCGGATAGTGTTGTCGTATAGTCTGCTTATTCAGGTGGCGATAGTCGACGCATAATCGGTTTTTGCCCGCTTGTTTGACTAGTAGCAAGGGGCTGGCATAGGGCGAAGTAGTCTCACTCACCACGCCGCACCTTTTCCAGTCGGTGACTATACGATGGATCTCTTCACGGTCCGCTTGTGTCGTCTTGTACGGGCGGCACAGACAGGCAAACTACCAGGCACCTCTTGTATGTCAACACGCATTAACGGCGTGCATCCGAGTTCGTCCAAACTCTTGGCAAAACAGCTTCGGTATTCGTTGACAAGGAGTAGCAGGTCGCCTCGTTCTTCCGAAGTTGCTTCCGTGCTAACAAACTCAAAGTCGCTCAATTCTAACTCTTGGCGTACTGGCGGGTCGGGGCCGATTTCCGCGACGTGTAGATAGTCAGCTTCCCTAGCGTGACTAGTTACTCCGACCACCATACCGTCCGATCTCGCCTCTGCGTTATATATGTATAGGCGTCCGTGGGCCTTGTGGTACGCCACCGACGGGCTGTCCAACCACGACCGCCCGACAATCATCTCTGGAGCCTGGACAGCGTCCGGCACCACAAGCAACAGGACCTTACCCGGGTCAACACCGTCAAGTACTACATTTGTTTCGGCTTCGCCAATGGCGCTCACCGACGGCACGGTCGTACTCCCGATTCCGTAAAGCGGACGTGCGGAGGGCCTAATGTTCAAGCCGCACCGTATAGCGACGGTCGCCTTTATAAGGGAGTAGTGACTGCCCGTATCCAGTAACACTTCTACTTCTTTATCATTTACAAGTCCAACTTTCTTATATGGATGGCTTGATGTCACAGTTCTTACTTCAGCGAAATTAGTCTGGTTTCTCTCCGGACAGTTGGGTCGAATGTGCCCTTCATCCCCACACCCGAAACACACGGGTTTGCGACTCGCTTTGTCTGGACAGTCGTGTGACAAATGTCCGGATTTCTTGCACACCCAACAGCTGGAGAAGGACGCCTCACGGTTTGACCCACTCGCCTCCACGACGGTCTTATCGAACTTTTTCCACTTATTCGGATTCACCTTCTCTTCCGTTTTCTTTTTCGGTAGCGGACGGACTGGAGCTCCTCTCGCGTTTTGCGGAGCAAAATATTTCGGCACAACCGCCGAAGCATGCAAGGAAGACATGCGTTCCCAATTCAATAGGTCACCTAGCAGGTCTTCTTCGTGGGCGTGTGTCCGCCCAACGGCGTACAAGGCCATTTCCTTCGACCGCAGTCCTCGCAAGACGTAATCTTTAGACACCGCAAAAGTATGTCCGATACCGCGGCACATGCGGAGCTTGGGCTGCATATACGAAATGAGAGTCTCATTAGACCCTTGCTTCCGCGCACGCATCTCGTCTTCGCGGTCGGCCGCACACGCATCATGCATGAATACTAGGCGGAACTTCCGCTCCAATTCGCCCCAATCGGAAAACTCACGGCCAGTAAACCAATCCTTGGCCGGACCGGTTAAATGCATACGGACGTACTGTAACACGTACTCGAACGGCCATCGATTTAAGGTCGTCATACCTTTTACTTCCTCCAGCCAATCTTCCACCTGCAGTGGAGACTCATCTCCAGTGAACGAGGTCATCGCCCGGCTCAAGTCCGGAACCACCCGGTACTCCGGACGCGTCGTCGCAGATGTTTGCGCAACAGACTCGAGCTTTGGCTCAGACACTATCCCGCCGCTTGTTATTTTCCGTAAGGATTCAAGCTAGGCTCGCAATGCCGCCGACTGCTCACTCTGCTGTTTGAGCTCGGTAATGAGATTGTACAATTCTAGGTACGACGGGCTTTTGATACTCGTCCCGTCCTAGGGTTCCTCGTCACCCATGTTGTTTATCAGCGGCACTTATCAGTTCACAACAAAACAACGAGTTTCTCGATAAGAAAACTATCAGACGTCGGTTATCAATAGCTAACCAGGTATCGTTATCCCGGTATTATGGTCACAGGCGGCGATAACAAAAGCTAACCACAACTCGCTGAGTAACTTCAGCTGGTAGCTGAAAACACGCGGTTCGACCGTTACTTTTCGAATTTCGAAACCGTTTCCGGACACTTTACAACTAACGTTCGCACACCGAAACGAATTCGCGATCGCGTACGTTACAACGGATCACACCACTAAACCGGCATAAGCCCCGAACGACAAAAACGCACTACGTTCTTTACGGAACAAATCCCACTTCTGATTAATAATAAGTATGTTAACTTCTCGCTATAATACCCCAAAGGCAAATATAAAAACAAAATTACGAAGGTATTTAACTTTACTAATCCATGTATTAACATATTTTATTCAACACTGTTCACTAAGACGGACGCGCACAAAAAGGCTGCACGTTACCCTCTTGACGGACTCGACGACTGAGAACGACCGCCGCTCGGTCATACTCACTCTACGATAGCATTAGGGAGAGGGTCCCGCGTCTGCAAGACCAACCCGCCATCTAGAGGAGTTTACAGTACCTAGTGAACTTTTTACAATAATATAATGTTTAATATATTAAAAAAAAATATCATATATTTCTTGTTATAGTACCTAACTTTTTATCATATTATAATTATTTTTAACCATACCTACCTTTCTCTAAATATGTAATAGACAGTCCTAAGTCTGTTAAAATAATATAATTAAGGTTGGTATAGTATAAAAATCACTAAAAACTATTAAACATCCAAGTATAGTGAAATAACTAAATTATACCCAACTAGTCTAGTAGGTACCAGAAAAAAACTGGGACCTTACTAGTGTAGTACCTTAAATAACTCTGGACACAACTAGTATAGCAATTTTTAATTCGTTTTCCGTGAAAAACATTTTAGCTATTTTGTACATTTGTAAAACGGAGACTAAATATGATGCTAATGTAGCGTAATCTTAGTAACACGGCGTTCAAGTTAGGCAATTTAGCTACATTTGTTTGTAATGTATTTCAATAGTACGACTTATTATATTCTTTATTAATCAAAAAATAGAAAATGGATGTTGCTCTGCTATACATTAGGTTTTAAGTGGGGCAGTGTAATGGATGTTGTTCAATTTGAATCAATGATATATTAAACATAATACTTATTAAAAAAGAAATAGATTATTTAACACTTTTCAGCATATTAAAATAGCTTTAATAGTATTTAACATTTATTTATAATTTATTTATTTATTTATAACAATTGGACTTAATTTATTGTAATTGTGTTGTATACATATATATTATAAAAGTAATTTGGTATAAAAATAATAAACTTTAAGAGTAATATTCTGTAAATAAATATACTATAAGAGTATTTATTTTTATTATTATTTTTTCGAAATTTGATTTGTATAACTCTTTTAAAAAGGGTTTTACATAAAGGATTATACATGCATGAGATCATATCTAGATGGCATTATATAATGTTGGGATGATGCTTAATTGGGATAGTATATGTCGGGGATGACATTTAGTTGGGTTTGTGCATACATGGGATTATGCATATATGGGATTCTTCGTGCGTTGGGATGGTGTGTAGTTGGGATTCTAAACACGTTGGGATTATACATATACGGGATTCTTTTAGACATAGTATGTGCAAAGTCATGCTCTCTCGGATGAAGAATACATTTATACATAAAAATATAATTATAAATTATAAGCTAATTGTTAGTATCAGGATAAATTGATCATTGATCTGAATATAATATGGTATAATATAATTGTAACAAGAATACAAATATGTATTAGTAGGTAGCACTTTGTAATACATTTTCAAGAATATTTGGACAGCCAAATATCTTTTATCGACAATTCAAAAAAATAAAAATGAAAATGTCAACTATCAATTAATTTTTGTCTTATAATTTCGCGTCTTATAATATATACTATCGACAAAAACTTTATTAAAACGCGCATGAACCAATATAAGAGTTACGTTGGTCACGAAAAGTTAAAATCAACATTTAGTACATGTACGCGCCGAGCCGTTGTGCATATCGCTTATCTGTGCAACGGTGACCGTTGTCCACTTTATCTCCCGTGCATCCATACCCCATACATTATGTCCAAATAAAACATTATTATAATTATTAATTACTATTTATTGTCTTTGTTTCTGTTGTACCATTTGCTTATATGTCAAATGTCTTTGTAGATTGTTCATGTTATCAATGTCTTGTTTTTAATCGTTTCGGTATCATATTATGCTTCTTCGCTCTTATATGTTTCTCTTTTTTTCTGTTCATACGTATCAATTTGTTCTTTGCCACTTCGGCACCCGTATTTTTTGTTCTTTTGTCGTCGCCATTGCGGCACGATCATCGATTGAACTTACACTGTATCGTCGCTGGCTAGTATAGCCACACATATACACTCCACCAATAATAAGTGAGTTCTTTTGTCTCTTATTATTATCTGCTCCTCACCAACGCGTGTACGAGACATATTATATTGTACGTGTGCCATCACCCCGTCATTCCTGCGAGACCGTCGACTCTTTGTCGAATGCTGATAGTCGTTGCGAGCCGCGTACGCGGTCTTCACGTATTGGTCTCCCAGTCCGCATAAGTCCGCCAACATCCCTGGTCTACCAACTTGCTGCCCCGCTGCTGCGTAAGTCCGCCAGCACCCAATTGACGGTGTGTGAGAGGCCGCCACGGTCGTCCAGTCGCGCCACTCATCTACGAATCTATCCACCCACTGCACCTGCCTTAATTTTAATTACCCTTAAGTAAAAGTTAGTAAAAAATGCCCGATTATATGTGAGCCTCGTCGGTCATTGCACCACACCGAACTGACCAAGAGGACAACCCCACCCAATACTTATTAAACTGCTTCCGTCCTGTCATAACTTCCGTCTTTCCACCACAGGTTGCCGGTCCTACGTTTCAGGCAAAGCAAACGGTCTGATAAGTTGCCTACCCACTCAGGTTAAGGGGCAAATCGAACTTGAAAAAGAAGTTGTCTATACACCACCCCTTACGGGTATTAAGTGTCCCGTCCGATCGAAGTAGCACCTTTGTTCATTACAGTACAACTTAACAAACAATTTTATGATAATAAATACATATTTAAAAATCAGTTTTTACATTATATTAAAATGTATTATATTTTTAAAAATGTTAAGTTTTAGAAAATGCGCTGGTTTAATAATCAAAGAAATGGCCGCTCATTTCTCAAATAAGACTTTTGATGATGTATCTCAAGAGGATTACGGAAGATTTTTAGACAATTGTCAACGACCAAAACTGAGTTTTAATATTTTTCGGATTTTGTTTCAAGTTGACGCCGTCGATGTTACAAGATTGGAAACCGTCAACACTTGGATCAAAAAGAAGAATCCACTGTATGCTGTTATTTTTACTGGAGATTTTGGACAGAGTCGTGATCGTCCAGCGACCTACACTTATCCTAATTATGGAATAAAATATAAGATAATCATCTGAATATTGTGATGGACGTTTAATTTTCTTTTCTTTTAGGTAAAATTTAATGCAAGACGATTGGCCATCAGTTTTTGAACAATGCATCATCCAACCTTCAAATAATGTGTTACATGAGTTAAAGATAATAATAGATATTACAACTGAAACGCCACTTGACCTCTCGTAATCAACGAGCCGCTATGAGATGCGATCCAGAATCACAACAAGATGATTGTTTGCATGTTTCCAAAGTCCCAAGGCTACAAAATACAGGATGCAATCAGAATGCTTTAGATGAAATAATTCAACTTATACCGGACACGTTGCGTGACTATACTAATTTATACTAATTATACTCCTGATAGATTCAATATACCAGATAATGTAGACTAATGCGGTCCATCGCCAGTTTGCCAAAACAGAGAGATAACGCAAGAATGCACCAGCTCTAATTATACTGCTCGGGATACGGTCTTCGATGATGCTCATAATTTGGATGAATGCTGTCGTCCAATAACGCAAGATTACACCTCTGATTATACTACTCATGAGTAGGGTTCGGATTTGAAGGCAATATAATCAATAAAAAAAGCATTTAAAATGTAAAAAAAGGCAAAAAAGGCATTTAATTTATATAAAAAGGCAATTCATAAATATACTAAAAAATAAAATAGTGAACATTTTTTAAACACTTTTAAATGCACACATTTTGAGAAAAATACAAATTAAAAATGAGCATGAATACTAAACTACATTAAGTTTATGCTATTTTGTATAAATAGATTAGGTACCTTTTTCTTTAACCAGATTTGTCCTAAAAATTAGTTAAAAACAATTTTAAATATTAACTTACTTGAGTTATACCAGTTAATTTAATGCAAAATAAACTAGTTGGTACTAAAAAAAAAAATTGACTTCCATGTATTTTGATAAGCTGTCTTCAGAAAAACGACTACGGTTAGGGGTTAAAATATTTTTGTACATCGAAAACGATCTTTCTACGTCCACCGAAGTTTTCGGGGCGTATTTCATACATAAATAATTATCTAAATTAAGATTGCTACTATTGCGAATAATAAAACCCATTTGTAACGATAATACGCAAGCTGTATATAAAATTATAAAATCAACTGAAAAATTAAACACAAAATAGGCATTTATAAGTACAAAAGGTAAAAAAGTATGTGTGTTACCAGTACGCGCGCGGGAAGTTAAACTTTTTTTGAATGGTACTAATTATTTATTATTTTTTTTATATTTTTATTCGACAGATCGATAATACGTAATATTATTATTATGTCATATTGACGTGGCCCGATTATAATATATATATATATATATGTACGGGCCGGGTACGAACAGAAATAGTCCGTGCGCCCGGTCACCTAAATACTTCGCGCACCACTACGCACCGACCGACATGTGTTATGGTGTGTATATATGTGGGTAGCACTCAACAGGAAGTGGACAGGGTCGCCGAGCAAAACCTGTGAGTGCTAGAGTGTGGGTGGATGTGTAAATGTGTGTATATTGTGATGTGTGTGCTTAAACTAATGGACAGGTACCTAACGCAACTTAAGTAAATAATAAAGAGTAATGTGTTAAGTTGCTGTATAATTCAAAAATTTAATTTAATAAGATCGACAAAACACAATATCATATATAATAATATCACAGCAGTACAAATGTATAAATTATAATTATAAATGGCACTTCTGGTATCAAACCAATAATACAAATAATATTAATTAAAATATATATATATATAAAAAACTTACAAATATGACGGTGCTCGGCTGGCCAGCTGCTACCTATCCTATGGGTTTAATAATAATAATAATGTCAACGGCACACACAATGCGTCGTAACAACAATTAAATAACAATAATAATAACGCCGGCGATTCGCGCCTGACCAATAACAATAATAATAACGATGGCGATTTGCGCCACCAACAACTACAATATAATTAATATAAAAAATAACGATGGCGATTAGCGCCTTACAAATATAAAACAATTTTTACGGCGATTCGCGCCTATAACGGTCACTTATATCTCGTAGCACTACGGAACGGACGGTAAAACAAAATTTGCGACGATTCGCGCCTGTAATAATATAGGTACGTCGACTGCGTGCGACGACCGAACGGACTGCCGCACCGCGCCTGGCCTTTGCTGGACAATGCCTGGTCACGGCCTTATCTACATATTATATAATAATCTTAATAATGATTACTGTCGTTTGTGTGTGTGGTGGGATGTACTAGTACCTACGTACTGTACTATATGCGAGTGGCGGTGATGACGGCGCGAACAAAACCGTGTGTTCAATTTTAAAGGTAACAGGAAATATTTCGATCATATGACCTTGAATTTGATTCGGGGTTTTTATACTGCATATAGGACTTATAAATACATATTTTTTTAATAAATTCATATTTTTATCTTTTTTTTATCAGCGCATGCGCAGTAAAACAAAAATTTCTTAAATAGCAACCACTATTTTGGAGACCGGATTTCGATTTCTTTATTTTTTCTGAACAACTTTGATCTTTACAGTTTGTTGATATCTTCAAAATTGCCATGTTTATGACGGTCGGAAGTTTTAAAATAGTTAATTCGTAAATAATTGTGTGGTGGATGATATCTCTCGGGATATCGTTCAGCATAAAGTGCCTCTGCGTTACGCGAATTTTGATGACATTCTCCAAAAATTAATACCATATCGGTTTTTTCGGAATAGTTTGCCATTGTACAGAAAATAATGTGTCACGCGCGACTTACGAAAAACGTTTGACTATTCACAATCAATTTTAGAATGCTATCAAAATATCTTATTCACACATGTTAATAGTATAACTTTCATTATAATACTATTAAAAACAAATTAAGATAATAGTAGTAGATAATTTAGTAGTTTTAATAAAAATAAATTGTTATTATAATACCTATAAATACCTATAAATTAAGATAGACCGTTGAAAAATGCAATATTTACAAATTAACTATTTTAAAACTTCCGACCGTCATAAACATGGCAATTTTGAAGATATCAACAAACTGTAAAGATCAAAGTTGTTCAGAAAAAATAAAGAAATCGAAATCCGGTCTCCAAAATAGTGGTTGCTATTTAAGAAATTTCTATTTTACTGCGCATGCACTGATAAAAAAAATTAAAAATTTGAATTCATTAAAAAAATATGTATTTATAAGTCCTATATGCAGTATAAAAACCCCGATTCAAATTCAATGTCACACGATCGAAATATTTCCTGTTACCTTTAAAATTGAACACACGGTATATATATATATATATTATAATAATATATAATATAACAACACTACCATGACAATATTTATTTATTTACGGGCATGTACGCTTTCGCGTTCGTACGGCCGCTTGTTCGCTTTTTTTTTCCTCACTACCCTGCGTAAAGATGAATAACTTCAAAAAAGGCAAAAAGGCATTTATAAGTAAAAAGGCAAAAAAAGGCAAAAAAAAAAAGATCCATCCTCTAAGAAATTAAATGAAACACATTTTTGTATAAAAATTATTTTTTTATTATGATTAATAAAAGAAAGGCATTTGCCTTCAAATCCGAACCCTACTCATGAGTTATCTAGTGGTGGATCCAGATTGATAACAAAAGGGGTTTTCTTTTGTTTTACTTTGTATTTGGACAATTTTTTAGTCAACTTTGAAATTATTTCATATATTTATATTTAAATGTTCTCTTACTGTGAATTTAACATCCAAAGTCATCAAAGCAAGTCATCACAATAATTTCCTTGTTGATTCCTCAAAAACGATTTTAACCAACCGGCTAAATTAATCATAGTGAAAAACTGTAAACAGTGTAGATATACATGAAATGCTTTAATTGAACCTGCAATTTAAGTATGGGCTCAAGCGTAGGGGTCCTCACCCCTATATACGCCACTGGTATAGGTGGTATATTTTAACATACCTCAATTTTATTATTGTTGACAACATTGAAATGAAGGTCATAAGCCCAGTCAGACATTACCCTATTTGATTTTACCCTATACGCAATTTTCATATGTGCTGGTAAATCACGAAATGCAGTATAATTTTTCCCTGCAAACTTGACAGGCTCTGTAAATACCATAAAAAATTAAACAATAATATAGAAAAAACTTGTGTTGATATAGTTTTTGTCGTGCTTTTTTTGCTCATTTTAATATTTTTAAGTTCTTATATGAATGCTCAGGTATATGAAGTATTTAAGTTCTTTTTTTATGCGTGGGTGCTCTAAATCAAGAACCCTGGTTATGACTGTTACGAGTGTATACAATGTTACAATTTAAAACCCACATATCCGACATGTACTTAAGTCTGTTGTATAATAGGTAAATTCAAAATAAAACTAAAGATAACGACACAAGATCGGTTCTGCTGAACACACATTATCTATGTTACGCGAGGGTCAGTGAGAGAAAAAAATAGTGTACAGATATCCTCTTAATAACAACTCCAAAAATTACAAGAAATAATAATATAATATTATTACATACAATTTGTTTTAGCAACAAACCTACCATAATATGACTAATAGAAAACTAAATTACAATAACAATATAAATATATTAAATTATCCATACAAGTTACTAAAAAAAAAAGTTCATCTCTTCTCAAAATCGTTTTTCATTTGCAATGATTTATCATATAATTTTTATATAAAAAAAAAATGCTAACATATCCATTACAGTGACTCAATAATGAGGTACACACAACACTTATACAGCAGTAGTTTTTTAAATTATTTAAATTGCTGTAATTTGTAATTGACCGGTTTGCTCAAATCATATGACATCTGGAAAAAAAACTATTTATATTAAACAATTTCTTCATATCAATTTTTTGTTGTTACTTTTGATAATATTTTTCCTACTAATTGTAGTATTTTACATAAACAGTGCATTTGTAGTTCATAATTTTCATTCTTTTCTTTACTTAAATCTCCAATGCATGACAGAATATATTTTCTGGAAAATCAC